CGCTCAAAATGCATTTGGTGTAAATGCAGCATCAGCAACCAAGTGACCAGCAAGCCATCTGGCTGGGTTTTGAGAAGCTGTATTTTTTTTAATTACAGCATGTATTTGTGCACACAGTTTGCAAAACTGTTTTCTCGGACATACAAATCTTGGCAGTTGACCCCTTACTTCACATAGTGGATTACCCATCACTATGTGTGCCATCAGCGTACTAATGATTGGTTGTTCGACTGATGGTCCTCCTTTTACATGTGAACAACCAGTTTTGGGTGTCACCAGTAAGCTGGTTGATCCACTATACAAAAGTTTGCTCATAAGGCTGAGTTTGTCTGCAACTCCTCAGACTAAAGAAGTCTCTTGGAGAAGAGATGAACCATTTCAACAAAGAAGAACTCATCCAGAGGATCTGACACAGCTTTGATAGATTTTTCTATTGAGATGCATCAGAACAACATATGACAAATATTCATTATTAAGAAACTGGTCTATATCTGCCAATTTTTATATCTAATGTGTGCTCCAGTAGATCAAATGTGAAGGTAGTGCCTATAAGGCTGAGTTTACACGCGGTGACTAATACTGGAGAAGTCTCCTGGAGAAGAGACAAAACATTTCGATGAAGAAGAACCCATCCAGAAGACCTAAATCAGCTTTGTTAGATGAGATATCTGTTGTTTTTTGACTTGGCCATTTGGGGCTGTGTTGTTAGGTGCTTTAGGGCTCTAGAAATCATGAAAACTAAACTGAAAAATGTTTGACACATTTGCTGAACACTGACATTACTTGCTGCAACTCTGTTTGAGTTTGAAAGAAATTCTGTTGCTGGAATATTTGATTGATTGATTGATTGATTGATTGATTGATTGATTGATTGATTGATTGATTGATTGATTGATTGATTGATTGATTGATTGATTGATTGATTGATGNTTGATTGATTGATTGATTGATTGATTGATTGATTGATTGATTGATTGATTGATTGATTGATTGATTGATTGATTGATGCTTTTATTGTCATTGTACAGAGCACAATGAAATGACATTTAAGAACACCCATTCAAGAAAACACACACAACAAAAACATGGGGGAACAGGTTATCAGGTTTGAACACGTTCAACATTTAGGCAACAAGACACCGAACCTCTGGAACTCGTAAAGTTGTTAAACACTTTGGAGACTGAATACTGAATTGGAGACGGAATACTTACATGTTGAAGACTTTTATTGTGAAAGATTAAAGAAAGTTGTTTGCGTCCACTGTACTTTGCCTTGTCAAACACATGTAAGCCTTGGCTACAGCTACTGTACTACTTGTACTGTACAGAACAAAACAAGCAATACCTGTGCAACTGCCCCAACAACGTACTTATAAAAACAATAAACATAGTACATATACACTGCTTCATCTATAACATCGTTAGCTGTGGTTGTGGTGTACAACTGTAACCAAAACTATGCCATATTGTTATTATCTTCATTATAAAGTTAATTAAACTCCAACACAATAGCTTTCTGCATCTCTATCTTGCATTGGCGCCCAAGCTCACTGAGCTCATGGAAGCAATCACAAGTTGTTTGTTGCTTACTGTTAACAACCCCTACTATGGGGGATGAGGAGGGGGCAACTTGGTACATAATTGAAAATGGTTGCTCTGGTCCATTTGCTACGCTTTTGTTCTTCCTACATCAGCAATAGAGGCAGCATCAAGATGCTGCTCTTAGGGGATTTGCTTTTGTGTGTCATTTTTCCTCTCCATCTCATTTCCTCTCTCCTTTGATGCCTTTTTATGACAATTCACACTTGAGTTGAGATTGCTGTAAATTTCGATTTCTGCCAAAGTGCTCTTTTAAGTAGCTGTCGCTCTCTGGATGCCATTTGTTCCTCACTTCCTCGTTTTTTTCCCCCTCTCCACCCCTGAAATGTTTGCCTGTTTTTGGAGTGTACCCTCTCATGTTATGCGATTGTATTTGTCAGTGCTTCAAGTGAGCAATCATAATCTAAAATGTTCCAAAAGAACAGCAGTTAACATGTCACTTAACACTTAGTTTTCTGATCACCTTTAAGCAGCATATTTTTTTCGAAAAGTTTTATATTTGGTTTTAGTGTTGTAAGCTACACTTCATTAAAACATAAAATTTTCACATCCTTGCCCTATGCTTGGATATCAAACACATATGCTATGATTTTCTTCTTGTCTCATCCTCTCACCTATGATTTCTCCTGTGACAAACCTAGTTGCTCATCAGATTTGGCTTTCAGTCTGGAGACAAATCACCTCCTTTGGCCGGCCTAGTCTGTCTCCCCAGGGAAATGCGCCAACGTCTTAAAGGACCTATGGAGAGCAACTTACAGTCTTCAGTGAGGACTCTAGTAAAAGGGGTAGTGATGCCAAGGTTAGAAGGCTGTGACTGGGAGGTTACAGGTTTAAAACCCCAGTCCATTCAATTTGGGTGGGACAAGTGAAGCACCCATACCAGCCTACAACCTAATTTGCACCACTGTGCACCCCTTAGCAAGGCCTGTAACCCTCCAGTTGCTCCCTGAGCACCTTAGACAGCAGCTATCTGCTCTACGTTTTCCCTGATGAGAAAAATGCAAGGAAGGAATTCCCTCATTGAGGTTTAATAAGGACAGTGAATATCTTGAGAAATTCTGTTTGTATCCAGACTTACTGTCAGCCTGATTTAAACACAATAGGCAAGGCTGGATCAAGGTTGTAGGGATGTCTAATAAGTAGCTTCTTCGGTGGTCCTCTTTAAGTTAAGCTTACTACCAAATCACCTTGATCTCTTTATGTTGTCTGGACTACATCCTTTGTGCATTCATCATAATAAAAGCACAAAAAGTAAGGACATTAGTGTTTGGTAGATTATTTCTTAGTTGTAACAATGCTTCTTGCCGTTAAAGCGTATATATATATATATACACACAGTATATATATACAC